GCACTCAGGGCCTTTGCTCGGCAATCCCGTCCTACCCTCGAGTCGCTAATCACACATTATTTATACACCTCACAGGTCGGTCGGTGTGTGAGTGGAGCGCGAAGTATTTAGGTGACCGGGCGACACGCACTATTATTGTACGTACCCGGCCCACACATTTGGTGATCTTGACGTGATCGATTAACTTACGTAATATCATTATCATTATCTAGACACGCGGTAGCGTGTCAAGCCAAGTTCTAGCTAACAGAACTGGCGAGCAGCACCGTGTGTAATATTACACGAACCATTTGGAGCCACTTTTGACCCCCTCATAATTCAAAAACTATTCCACATAAACATGTCAAATTTGGCTCATATATTGAGACTAACGAGATACATATGTGCTCTAAATTTCATAAACACACTTTAAACCGTTATTTAGATATTAACGTCCGAAAATCGTCATTTTTATCACTGACTTACCTATAGATCAAAATTCTAACCCAGTTCCAGATGACCTAGAAAGTTCAAATTTGGCATACAGATAGGTAGTTAGGTAAATACATGGGAAAAATTTAGATACTTGAAAATTTTTAATTTAAAATTTTTTAATTTTTAATTTTTAATTTTTTAATCAATTGATTTTATTATAATTTTGCAATTATTTTATCTATTATGTTTAATTTTTCAATTTATTAATGAATTGCCTCTAATTTAATGTAATGTAATGTAATGTTGACTTAAATTACCTTTCCCGTATCGCCACTCCAAAAATACGACTAGCCGAATATGTGTCGATATTGTCGACCCTCGCGCAGCAACATACTTTTTTTTTCTATCTATGTATGTAATTAATATTATTTTTTTTAAATATTACAATTAAAATAATTAAATAATTATTCTTACAAATTATGAATTATCCACCCAACAGTAGAAACTACAGTCAATAAAATTATGATAATTAAAAATATACTCAAAAAGAGTTGAAATAATTGTATATTAATTTTACATATATTTTATACTCTGTATATGCAACGGAAAATATTTTATAATAAATATTATTATTAATATTAGTAACTGAATTATATTATATAGTAATAAACTTTATTTATAGAATACGTCATGGCTAGGTTAGGTTAGGTTATAATAATTTACATACAAAAAGTATACCTAAGTCTGACTTGGCTACGAATTATATATTATAGCATTTGCAAGTTCTAAAGCTTTGAGTTCTTATTTTATTCTTCGGAAAATCATCTTCACTCTTCCATTACTGTTTTAGTAGGTACTTACTACTTATAATAATAATTCGTATATGAAAAGTAGCCAAGTCACACCTTAGGCTTCAATATATTATCCTAACTTGGCACCCATTTAGATCTCACTTCTTTTGTCGTTGAAGTCAACAACCAAGGCATATATTATAGTATTAAACTTGGCTCTCATTTTACATATATGTTTTTGGTGGAATTTTAATTACGGTATACTGATCAATGTAAGTTTTTCGTGACCTATATTTGTTATATAATTATCATCGGTTAATGGCCATAGGTATACACCTGAATTAAATCGTTTCTAATTGATATACACACGTCAATATAATATACTACACATTGTTGTCGATAATTACGAGTACCTTGTGTATATTTAATTAATTTTTTATAATGGCACTTGATGAGAATGAGAAAAAGGTCTTGGTTAATTTGAAGAAACGAAGGGGGGTGTAAAAGCAGCGCTTACCAGAGTTCAAACCTTCATTACCAAATTTAATAAAAGGGACGATGCCATCGCATTATTAGAATTTCGTCAAGAAGAGTTACCACAGATAAATCGGAAATTTGTCGACGTGCAGTGGGAAATTGAGTTGATCTACCCCGATAATTTTGAGGAAGCAGAAAAAGAGACAGAGCAATTCGAAAACACTTATTTTGCTATACGGGCGGAGTTGCAACAGATTATAAGTGCAGAGAAAAGTCAAAATACATCTATAAATAATTCCTCAAGCATCACAACAACGGGGCATGCACGAGGAGCACGCCTACCTCCGATCTCGCTACCAAGCTTTAATGGTAACATCCAGGAATGGGAGTCATATTTTGATTGTTTTAAGGCTATATACCTATAGTGCACAATGATGACAATTGTCCAGCAGCACAAACATTCTCGCATCTTAGGTCTACTCTGAGTGGTCAGGGACTACCTATGACTGAAAATTATTATAAAGTGGCAATCGAAAAATTGCAACAGCGGTATGACAACAGGAGTTTAGTTATACACACACACACACACAGGCATATCACCTCCGCTATATATCATTGTATAAGTTGTAATATCGGAAAATTAAGAACTATTAAAAATATCTCTCATTTCAGTAGATAGGTAATTTATGCGGTTTATTACAAAAATCTCGAAATAGGTACCTACACAATAATTAACGTTACATCTGTAGTATTATAGTAACATCTTTATCAATTAAACATTTATAAATCTTCATGTTATCAGTCATTTTCCATACAGGCTCATGCTACAATGAGCATATAGATGGGCACGTACATACATTCTTGTATCTTTATATATACACAATAATATTAGGCCAACCTATCATGAATAATATTACAGATACTTACTTATATTTTTAATCAATCATATATACATTGAAATATTGTATGAGATTACATTAGACTAACATCATAGCTTCTATACACATAGGTACATGGATTATAGGTAGGTATATAAGAGAAAAAATAAATCTCTTACTGTTATTATTGTACTATTATTCATCAAGTGCAGTGAGAATTATATATTTATACTAGCTGATCCCGTGCACTTCGTTTCCCGTTAAATGTACCAACTCTATATGACTCAAACATTGTTCAATGCGTTATTTAATATTCGGTGTATGATGTTCTAGATTTATCTTAACTTTTCTGTTGCCCGCAATAAAAATTCTGAATTGCAGCAGTACATCGTCAGATAGGTATTTTACCTGCGGTTGATCGCGGACCCCGTGCTGTTTGTACGTACCTAAGTGTATGATTTAACTCAAAAAGTATAAAAGTTATACCAAGTTTGACGTTTTTACTTAATTCCACCTACCTATAAATCCTAACCTAACATAATCGTACTAAAATCCGATGAATAAAAAAAACCAAATTTAACCCTTCTTAAATTAGCGTATCTTCTTCCCATAGGTCTAATCTACACACCGTCATTCATTTATATATAAGATATATTTACTAAAAATAATAATACAAATCAACAAACATGCCCGATTAACCAATAGCAACCAATATTATAATATAATACACCATAGAGTAAATAAAGACAACGGTACCGAGTTCAAATCCCAGACATCAATAAATAGTTTTTGCAGTTTTTCTAATTATTCGGTTGACTTTTTAAAAATTTTCATTCGTAAAAACCTTCACCTGGCAATTACGAACATCTTAAAAAAAATGTCAGCAAAATCGGTTAGGTTAGGTTAACTGATGCAATTTCGAATATTTTGTCTCCATTTTTATATATATACTAGCTGATCCCGTGCACTTCGTTGCCCATTAAAAATACCAACTCTATATGAATAAAATGTTTTATTTTATAATATAACGGTTACCATAACAGCAATTTTAAACCAATTATTATTATAATTATAGCTTTGAAACCCGCGGTGACCAAAATCTCAAAATCCCTGTTTGAGCACGTCCCGGTGTTGGTCCTCTCCCCTTTTAAATTAGCCTATCTTCTGCCCAGAGATCTAACATGTCTATATGTATAAAAATATTTGATCCCGAGCACCACGTTGCCCATTAAAATTGACAACTCTATAAGAATAATATGTTTTACATAAAACAATATAAAAGGTTGCCATGGTAATGTGGACACACACGGACTATATATATAAAATATCTGATCCCATGCACTTCGTTGTCCATTAAAGACCTATAATTATGAATATAATAGCTACAACACTCATGGTAACCATGGTACCTTTGGTAACCATGGTAACATTGGTAACCATGGTAACTATGGATCATGGTAACCTTAATAACCATGAAACCTTAGTAACCTTAGTAACCATGGCAACCTTGGTAACCATGGTAACATGGACACACAGACACACACACTGACATACATTCATTTTTATATATATAGATATAGATTATATATTTACGGTTGATACATAAAATATATCACAACGTAGCCATGCATACTGATACAACGCTATCCAATATACAGCAATTAAATGCAAGATAGGACCTACTCATATATAATTTACTCATTTTATCGTTAAATACGAATCTAAAAATGTACTCATCAATGTGAATATACGTTAAAATGTACCTACTAATTTTGATAAAAAACATAGCTGTCTGTGTGTAAATACAAAAATCTTGCTAAAATAAGTAAAAATATCAAAATTTTAATAAAGCATATGGAAAAATCACAATATTTTAGTGAAAAATAGGGAAAAATATCATAATTTCATTAAAATCATGTAATATTATAAAAATATCATATTCCTGCCTAATTACTATCAAAGGCATATATTATACAGTTTAGTTATTAAGTGTATCTAAATGCATGAACACCATTATAACGAGTCTAAACGGTTGATACATATCGTTGGACTTTAATATAATATTAATTATTATATGAACTTTTTTGATTCATTCATTTTCAGTAGATAAACCCCCATGTACTATGTACACATATTTATCACATTAATATGATATTTTAGACTTTAAGCTGTATTAGAATTGTGTGATAAATATGAATTAGAATACAGCTTAAAGTCTAAAATATCATATTAATAATTCTTAAAAGCATTACAATGAAAAACCGTATTTATTTCAAAGATGAAACAAATTCATATTTAAATTCCATGGCATTAATAATAAAAAGCATACTATTATATAGTTGTCTTCATCACATATTAACAAAAACAAAAAATCTGTTTTCTACATAATTATTTTTTTTATTATTTTTTTATTAATATTATTTTTTTTTAAATCAATTAGTTATTTTAATTTATCACCTCCTGGATAGAGTTTTGAAAATACTTGGTCCTTAGATGGAATAATGGAATTGAGATCCAACTTTACAAGTTCCCAACATTTAAGTTTTTGTGTTTCGGCCATGAACCAAAGAGGAACGCACAAGCATTTTGTTTCGGCAATATGAGTGGTCATAAATTCTTTATCCTTTACGTTTTCACCTTGCAATAAGAATTAATATTTAAACATCAGTAATACGATATGCATTGAATTGTATTATAGGTCCAATGATTAAATATAAAAGTACAATTATATAATGTAATGTGTAGCAGTGGCGTAGACAAGGGGGAATGGCGTGGAGGTCAGATCCCCCCATCGGCTTTTTATTACCTTAGTAAAAAAATTTGAGAGCGTGGGGGATTTTCCAATTTCCCCTCATATGTCGTTTTTTTTTTACCTCCCCCCTTCAGAAATCATGTCTACGCCACTGATATGCAGTGAAGGTGAAGTGGATACTTATTTTTTATAGGACATATTATATATACATTTTTAAGAAATATTACGGTGTGTTCGAAATGTATAAAGACAGTATATTTATTATTTAATATGTCTGTGTCTTGATAATTATAGTCAATACCTATGATTAGTCTTCATCGTTTTTGAAAAAAAAATGAACCAATACAAGTACCTAGTTGTATTTATACATTTTTATAAACCAGAAAAAAAATTAAACGCCTGTAAAATTTTAGTTATTTTTTAAATTTTAAATAGGTAATTCTTTTAGCAAATTTTGAGATTTCAGCAATATAGTCGATAAATAAACAAACATTTAGACCTCTCCAAATACGTTATGAATAATAATAATAAGTGTTAGTAGAACAAAAGACAAAAACATTTTGTACTGCATATTTACGTATCAGGGTTAAAACTATTAAATGTTTATTATATTTATTAAATATAAGTTACCAAACCTAACACATAACTTGTTAAAAATAAAAGTCCCGGGGTCGAACTAACTTAACTTGGGCTAGATATATTTAGAATTTTTTTGTTCCCTAAACCATTGGTGAACTATACATTAATTTTATTATTATTATATTATCTCATAAAGTTAATTTTGTTACCAATGTTAAAACACGAGTCCGGTAAAAATGTACAAGTGTCGACATATACATTTGAATATTTTTTTTTATTCAATTTTTCCGAAGTCTTTCTTAATTTGTACACTTTGAACCTTACATTTCTATAACTTTTAACAATCTCTTCGATTTCCAAATGCAGTATTAAAGATATTTCACCTTCTAATACGAAGTAAGCATAATCAACATCTCCTGTTCCTTTTCCTATGACAAAAAAATAATATTAGGTAGGTACCTATACTGTTGATTTTATTATTAATTTAAATTATCGTATCATATATATTTAAAAATTAAGTATACTTTAGTTACCGAGAACATATTCATGACCTTTAAATGTTTTGATAGATGAAATAGTACTACACTTATGTAATTCCATCAAACTCAGGTGTTTAAAATATGAAGAATTTTTAATTGCTTTTGCATTTTCATTCCACTTTAGTTGCAAATTATCTTTGATAATGTCCGTGAAATCATTTTTCGAAATGCTAATCAATTCCACCGCACCTTTATAATATTCATAAATATATTACAAATAATTAAAATTTTCAGCTTCTGAATATCATACTTGTGTTATCACATATTATTATAATGGACAACACATTTCTATTGAGCATTTTTTATGTACATAGTTACAAAGTTACAAGTTTACAACATAGAGGAATTTTTAGAACCAATAAAATTGTTTAGTATCCGCATAAAAAAAATGTTTACTTAATGATTGAACAGAATTGGTTCTAAGTGTGTTAAACATAACATCACTTTCGCCAAAAGAATGTTTTTCCTTCAATTTGCAACGTTCAGTGTTCTCCATAAGTTTAGTAACAGGGTTTTGTACATCTTCAGTAATCATCACTTGTCCTTTGACAATTAAATACATGTTCGTCGATAAATGTCCCTGTTTCAGTATCCATCTACCAGGGCCATAACATTTATACGTTGCCCTTCTCATTAGAGCCGTTTTAATATCCTAAGAATAAATTATTAGTGTAGGTATATCTACAAATCAAAAGTTAAAAAGTTAAAAGTTTAATAAGTTACTAATATATATATTAATTAATAAAAATATATAATATAAATATAAAATATTAATATAATATATTATAATAATAATATATATTATATTATAATATTATTATATTATATTATATTATATTAATATAATATATTTGTTTGCGCCGCAAACAGGGTCAGTGTGGTGTTGTGTGTGTGAGACGGTGCTTATCACTTTTGTTGTGTTATCATGTGTGTGTTTTGTTATCTGGTGTGTTATGTTGTGGTGATGTTTGCGAAAAACCACCATATTTTGTGTGTTAAGCTTTCTGGCACTGGTTTGCCAAATTCATTTGAAGTCAAGCTCGACTCTGAGCACTTTTGATATATGACACTGTTTCAACTGCCGTTCAAAAAAACACGTTTCAACTGTTGTGGGTTCCGGTGGTGCCACCGACCGAAAACCACATGTTCTGAGTACTACACACTCATATATCATACCATCATATATGGATTCGGTGCTTCTACAGTTCTTCTTTGGGTAACATTAGCTAGTAGTACAACAATTTCTGACAGCCTTTTCCCCCTTTAGGATTGATCATGGCAGCTGCGTTTGGTGTTGTGATTTGTGTTTATGAATAAAGGCAGTGGTGTGGTCACAGCGTGCCCGTCTCAGCTTCAGTTTTGTTGCCTGTATGTGAGTGTGAGTATTGGTCGACCATTTATGCATATTATTCTAGTCATTATTGTATCATTATTATTGTAAATGCCAACAGGCACATTGTAGAATCATTATTATTGTAAATGCCAACAGGCACATTGTAGAATCATTATTATTGTAAATGCCAACAGGCACATTGTATCATTATTATTGTAAATACCAACAGGCACATTGTATTATTCTTATTGTAAATGCCAACAGGCACATTGTATTATTATTATTGTAAATGCCAACAGGCACATGGTTCTAGTAACTCTATTAGCCAGTCAGACTTTTGTTCATTTCTTAGGTGTTGTAACCATTAGAGGGTCTCAATAAACGTTACATTATTACCTTACTTGTTATTACATTATTATTCACAGGCGCGAGGGTGTACTTGGTGTTTCACTTGATACACCAATCATTGAGCGCGCATTCATTTCTGGTGACCTCGACGTGATACATTTATTTCTTTATCAAGTTGTTTGTTAAGTTAATAGTGTAAGTGTAATAGGTTGTTTGTTGTGTCCCTCTGGTGGTTTATAGGTCATTGTAGTTTAGTTAATCACTGTAACAATCAAAAGTTGTAAATCATAGACTGACAGTGTCAATTGTTTATTTGTAAGTCATCCAATTATTGTCTTGTAAGCCAAATTAAGTCTAATCTACACTGTCAGTAAGAGTCAGTCAACATTCGCCGTGAGTGGATCGTTAATCTTGTAATTTGTTAACTTGTTGTTTTTTATTTTTTCTATTGTGAGATAAGCACTTGGTGCATAACACTTCTTTGTAAAATCAGGTATGACGGCCAAAGCGGTTAATAGGAAACTTAAGGTCATCGCCTCTGAACTCGCAGCATTATTATCATTCAGCTCTCAGTTTGATGTGTCATCTGGTAACATCAATGAGGTGCGTGCAAGAATCGAATCCTTGCCTGAGGTTGCTGAAAGATTTGAACTGCTTCAAACCGAATTAGAGAACCTTGAGGAACATGTACCTGATGAGCAACGTGTTTCAGAACGATTGACACACAAAGATCTTATGTTCAGTGTCAAAGCATCCTTAATGAGTCTTTTGGAGTCCAAGCAGGAGAAAGGTTCAAGTGCTCCATCAATTAGTGAAGTGACAAGACTTGATGGCGTTAGTGCAATGAGACTTCCGCCAATTGATGCACCAAAATTCAACGGTGATTGGCAGATGTGGACGTCGTTCATAGATTCATTTAATGCTATGTTTCACAAAAACAAGGATTTGCTCCCAGTTCAACGGTTGTACTATTTAAAGAGTTGCTTACAAGGACAGGCTCGTGAGGTTATTAGTTCAATCCCTACTATTGGTGAAAACTATTTACAAGCATACAATACAATAGTTAACAGATATGAGAATAAGGGTGCCATTATTCAATCACACATTCGGTCACTCTTAGACACACCAAGAGTACTTACTGCGTCAGCCACAGAGCTACAAAATCTTCATCATCACATCATGTCTAATGTCAACGCGCTAAGGGCTGCAACTCAACCAGTAGATTCTTGGGATGCTTGGTTAGTAACGTTGATCTGTAGTCGCATGGACAGCGCCACAGTTGCCGAATGGCAGCTACATTATAACAAAAAGGACTTGCCATCTTTTACTGAAATCGAATCGTTCTTGTTTAATAGAATCGCTGCTTATGAAGCTGGGGAAATGAACAGCCACAAGGGTGGTTCCAACCCAGTGCCTGCAAAGTTGATCCCATCATCGTTCAACAAACAGAAACTCTCTAAATTTAACGACAAGAAAATTCTGTTTGCCAAATATAACGAGAGCAAACCTAAGTGTATCTCCTGTAACTCTGAGCATTACTTATTTCAATGTATGAAATTTAAAAATTTGTCAGTTGAGGAACGCAGAGATGTTGTGTTCAAGAATCGGTGTTGTTTCAACTGCTTGCGATCTGATCACCAAGTGCGTCAATGCAGATCGTCATCATGCACCCAATGTGGAAAAAGACACAACACTTTGTTGCACCTCAGCTATGGAGAGCAAGAGACAGATGAGCCACGCAATGACGATAACCAGTCAGATCAGGGGTCAAGTAGCGCATCACCCAATGTAGTCGGTTGTGGTATGGTAAACAGAACAGTACATTGTAAGCCTACTATTCAGGTTATATTGGCTACAGTTGTGGTCCATGTGAATGACTCATCAGGTAACGTGATGCGTTGCAGGGCAGTACTTGACTCAGGATCTCAATTGTGTTTTATCACTAACAAACTGGCTCGACGCCTCGGGTTACAGATAGTCAACAATACGGTTCCTATTACTGGCATCGGGCAGTCACGATCATCTACCAGCAAATGTTGTTTGGGTACAGTGCAGTCTCGGTTTGTCCAAACACAGTTCCAGGTGCAACTTCATGTATTACCTACCATCACTGGCGACCTTCCAACACAGAGGTTTGACACAAATCAATTAAACATCCCTCGTGAAATACAATCAAATTTAGCTGATCCTGAATACAGCAAACCTGGGTCTGTCGACATGCTCCTTGGTGCTGAAATATTTTTTGAGATTTTAAGACAAGATAAACACTTTGTATCAGAGCATGCTGCTTTCCAGGACACTGTGTTTGGTTGGATTTTGGTGGGTAAAGTCCTCACCCAACCATCTGTGTTATCGCTGGTACGTCCAGTCATAAATCAATGCTCTGCATTATCGTTATTCACATCGGCAGTGTCAAGACGGTTATGCGAAGAGGAAGAATCTGTGGAACAACATTTCACACAAACCACTCGTAGAAATGAAAGAGGACAATTTGTGGTTCGACTTCCGCTGAAAGAACATCCTTTGTGCATAGGAAATACAAGCATTATAGCTAGGAAACGTTTTCTTAATCTCGAACAAAAATTGATCAAAGACAAGGGGTTGTCAAATGAATACGACAACTTTTTGATGGAGTACTTGAAGTTGGGGCACATGGAAAAAATTGGACAGTTCAATGAAACCCAATCCAACGGATATTACATACCCCACCATGCAGTCTTCAAAAGCACCAGCACAACCACGAAGTTACGAGTAGTGTTTGATGCATCTACTATAGGTTCGACAGGGAAATCGTTGAATGACTTACTCATGAAAGGTCCAGTTGTCCAACCTACTTTGTATTCCACACTGTTGCGTTTTCGAGTCCATCAAGTAGCCCTCACAGCAGATATAGAGAAGATGTATCGACAAATACTGGTTCATAATGACGATTGCCAGCTACAAAAAATAGTTTATCGGTCAAGGCCAACTAATGAGCTTCAAGAGTTCATGTTGAAAACAGTCACGTATGGTACAAAAACTGCCCCGTACTTAGCCACCAGGTGCCTGGTACAATTGGGTAATACATGCACTGATCCGGACTTAGCAAGAATTATCCAAAGGGATTTCTATGTAGATGATTTATTGACAGGAGCAGACACCGAGGAACAATGTTATGAGATTTTCCAAAAACTCACCAGTGTGCTCAACGGCGCCCAGCTACCATTAAGGAAGTGGTGCTCAAACTCGTCAACACTCTTGTCCTTATTACCTACTACCACTGATGATAACTACATAATAACATTGTCAGAATCTGACTCAGTGAGTGCATTGGGGTTGCAATGGCAACCAAGCACAGATAGTTTTAAATTTGTCATGAAACCATGGACTCCACCTAAACGAATGACTAAGCGTAGTTTGTTGTCAGATATCAATAGTATTTATGATCCCATTGGTTTGATTACTCCAGTACTCATCAAAGGAAAGATTTTTTTACAACAGTTATGGAGTCTGAAAATTGACTGGGATGAAGTATTATCAGATGACATTTGTTCAAGGTGGACAACCTTTTATTCCAGCCTCCATCAACTTGTTGAGTTATCAGTACCTAGAAAGGTGTTACTCGCCGATGTGATCAATCTCCAGATACACGGTTTTTGCGACGCGTCTCAATTGGCATTTGGTGCTTGCGTGTACCTGAGGTCGGTCACACGTGACGGCAGTGTGTATGTCCACTTGTACACATCGAAGTCCAGGGTCGCACCACTGAAGGCCACGACCATTCCGAGGCTCGAATTATGTGGCGCTGTGACATCAGCCGAACTTGTCCTTGAAGTTCAAGCCGAATTACGTCAGTTAAATGTCATAGTCCCACCTAACAATGTATTTTTATGGAGCGACTC